TAGTGATGGGGAGAGTCTAGTAAACATAATGTTCCTCATGTCATTGTAGATTAATGATACCAAAATTAAAAATAAGAGCTGCTGATGGAGCTAGAAGGTACTGTGCTCAGTGAAATAAGCCAGGTGGAGAAAGACAAGTATCAAATGATTTCACTCATCTTGAAGTATAAGAACAAAGAAAAAACTGAAAGAGCTAAACAGCAGAAGACTCACAGAACCCAAGAATGGACTAACAGTTACCAAAGGGAAAGGGACTAGGGAGGAGGGGTGGGAAGGGAGGGATAAGGGGGGTGGGGAAGAAAGGGGGCATTATGATTAGCATGTATAATGTGGGGTGGGGCACCGGGAGGGCTGTACAACACAGAGAAGACAAGTAGTGATTCTACAACATCTTACTAAGCTGATGGACAGTGACTGTAATGGGGTATGTGGGGGGGGATTTGGTGATGGGGGGAGTCTAGTAACCATAATGTTCCTCATGTAATTGTAGATTAAGGATACCAAAAGAAAAAAGAAAAAAAGAAAAAAAAAGAAAGCCCTTGAAGAAGAGTTGGAGGAGGCAGTCACCCTGCCATTACAATGTCCTAACCTCTCTCTGGTTAAAGCAGCAGGTGAGACACGTGAGAGACCGCGGGTGAGAGCAGGAGACCCTGACAGTATGTATGCAAGTGAGTATGGGAAGGTGGCAGGAGAATGGTCTCTCGGTGAACAGTGCTGGGACAGCTCCATACGCCACACGTAACCACGAAGTCCTACTGTAAAAAACACCCGAAACTATACAAATACTAGAAGAACACACTGGTGGTTCCCTTATAACCTCAGTGTGGGGAGGAAAGACTTCTTAACTAAGACTCAAAACCCAGGTTCAATGAAAAAAAAAAGTATTAATTTGATGACGTTAAAAACTTTTGCACTGGGGAAAAAACCACCATACACAGGCAAAATCAAGACAACAAACTGAGAGAAAATAGTTCTAGATACCAAAGAAGAAGGGCTAATACCACTGAAAAAGGGGAACTCTGTAAAACCAAGGAGGAAAAGACCAGAAACCAGAGAGGAAAACAGGCAAAAGATACAGATCATTCACTGAAACAGAACAAAGCAGCCCTCAGCACATGAGGAAATACTTGATTTCACTCCTAATCAGAGACATGCAAATGTACATGACTCCGATATACTTTTTCTCATCTATCACGAGCAAAACTCCCAGACCTGGACGACATCCACTCAACAAGGCTGTGGGGACGCAGGCAGTCCCACAGGCGGCTTGTGAGACAATGAGATTCGATATTTATTGATCCTTTGCCCCCGCAATCCCACTTCTAGGCAGTGATGACCCTAAAGTCAGACCTCTGACAAAACAAGAACACATATATATGAATGTGTTGCAAAACAAAATACATATGAAACCTTGTCACTGCAAAATACTGGAAATAACCCAAATACATAGAAAATTGGATGAAGAAACTATGCTAGATCCATTAAAGGGGCGCTACGCAACTAGAAGAGCACGGAGGACCTCTGTGAACCGACACGATGCAGTGACTTCCAGAATTAACTTTTAAATGAAATAAACAAAGCAAAATGACACACAATTACACCCAAGACTAAGGAAATGGGTCCCCACACAGGCGACAGGAACAGGACAGTGAGGCACTGAGAGTCCTCTGAGGACACTTTTTAAAATAATTGTGACTTCTAGAACATTGTTAATGTTTTTACACATTGAAAAGAAAAATTAAATCAATGAGGATGAAGGAAAAAATCCTTAAAAAGTAAAACACGTGAACCTAACTGTATTTCAAATAAATACACAGAAAAAAAAAATAATCCAAAAAAACAGTTTTTTGCAACAGTACTTTGACTATATCAAGTCAGTCTACCAAAGAACCAGAGCATCCCAAACTGACCTCACGGGTCTACTCTTGCTGTGGCACAGGAGCCCCTCCACCAGGGTGAGCGGACATTTGCTGTGTCATCAGGGTGGGGTCAGAGATACCTGCAAGCCCCCGCCACGCCAACCCAGACATGTGCATACACGTGCGCGCACACACCAGCACATGCACACACCCGTACGCACACAAGCGCGTGCGCGCGCACACACACACACACACACACACACACATTTACATGACACCCCAGTACCTATGACCAGATCTTGGATTCTAATGACCAGATCTTGGATTCTAAGCCCTACTCACCACTAAAAGGGTCCAGGACTAGCTGGAGAAACAGCCAGTTCCAGGCATGGGAGAAGTAAATATAAATGACCCTGGAATATCTTGTGCGCAAAGGCAAGGAAGTATTCAAAAATCGATAGGGACGTGTGAAAGGACACAGGACACCTCCTGAAGGACTCTCAGAGGAAAACCCCAGGAAGATGGGGACATCCCAGTGAGAGATTCGGTCGGGTAAGGACCGACCGAATAACCAGGCCCATGAGTCCACATGGATATTAAATACAGACAAACATACGAGAGAAAAGGAAGTTCTTCTTTACAAAAGAATGGTAGTGGTTACAAAGTCACCCTTTTGCAACTACAGTAACAATTACACCCAAGACTAAGGAAATGGGTCCCCACACAGGCGACAGGAACAGGACAGTGAGGCACTGAGAGTCCTCTGAGGACACTTTTTAAAATAATTGTGACTTCTAGAACATTGTTAATGTTTTTACACATTGAAAAGAAAAATTAAATCAATGAGGATGAAGGAAAAAATCCTTAAAAAGTAAAACACGTGAACCTAACTGTATTTCAAATAAATACACAGAAAAAAAAAATAATCCAAAAAAACAGTTTTTTGCAACAGTACTTTGACTATATCAAGTCAGTCTACCAAAGAACCAGAGCATCCCAAACTGACCTCACGGGTCTACTCTTGCTGTGGCACAGGAGCCCCTCCACCAGGGTGAGCGGACATTTGCTGTGTCATCAGGGTGGGGTCAGAGATACCTGCAAGCCCCCGCCACGCCAACCCAGACATGTGCATACACGTGCGCGCACACACCAGCACATGCACACACCCGTACGCACACAAGCGCGTGCGCGCGCACACACACACACACACACACACACACATTTACATGACACCCCAGTACCTATGACCAGATCTTGGATTCTAATGACCAGATCTTGGATTCTAAGCCCTACTCACCACTAAAAGGGTCCAGGACTAGCTGGAGAAACAGCCAGTTCCAGGCATGGGAGAAGTAAATATAAATGACCCTGGAATATCTTGTGCGCAAAGGCAAGGAAGTATTCAAAAATCGATAGGGACGTGTGAAAGGACACAGGACACCTCCTGAAGGACTCTCAGAGGAAAACCCCAGGAAGATGGGGACATCCCAGTGAGAGATTCGGTCGGGTAAGGACCGACCGAATAACCAGGCCCATGAGTCCACATGGATATTAAATACAGACAAACATACGAGAGAAAAGGAAGTTCTTCTTTACAAAAGAATGGTAGTGGTTACAAAGTCACCCTTTTGCAACTACAGTAATAATTCATCCAGGCAGCAATCAACCAATAGGTTGAGTGACTGTCTGCTGAGAAACGCAGGCTCACAGACCACCCGGACTGTCCCTAAGCACAGGGGAAAGCAGCACTTCACAGCGGAGAAACCCACGGGGCCCGGATTCACTCCAGCAGCCAGGGGAAGGCGGCGTTCTGTGCCTCGTGGCAGCACACAAACGAGGGCAGAATGTCATTTTTGTAATGTTCCTGACACAAATGGGTAAGGCAACACAGAAGACACCTTCAGATTCAAAGCTACGGGCAGACTGAGAGCCAATGACGGAACAGGGTGCGTCGTGCAAGCAGCGACCACGGAGCTAGAGCAGCTGAGTACAAAATGAGACAGACTTTAAAACAAACAAACAAGTCACTGGAGGAAAAAAAGGGACAATTTATAATGAAAAGAGGATTAGGGAAATAAAATTATAAACACACACACCTAATAACAGAGCCCCAAAATACACAATGCAAAAACTGACAGAAATGAAGAAAGAAGCTGACAATTCAATAATAGTTGGAAACGTCAATAACCCGATTCCAATAATGAACAACTGGGCAGAAAATCAACACAGACACGGACTTGAACGGACATCCACAGGGCACTGTGCCCACAGCAGCAGAGCTCTGAAACGTGTATGCCGCACCACCCGGGACAGACCACAGGCTGGACCACGAAACAAGTCTCAATAAACCCAAAAGGAAGCCACAATAAACTTAGAAATCACTAACAGAAAGAAATTTAGGACACTCACAAAAATGTGGAAAATAAGCCACTCATAAATAACTTCAAAGACCTCAAGCCGCCTAAAATGAGAACTGTTCTGCATGTCCACAAAGCAGACAGAAACATGCAGAGACAGTGCTCAAGGTCAGGGGGAGGCCAGCCTTGGGGCAGGAGCTGGGGTGTCTCTCCATTGTCCCTCTGTCCAGAGCAGGGGGAGGGTGCAGAGAATGAGCAGGGGACTTGCAAAGAGAGGAAATGTAAACCATTCTGACAGTGACAAGCCACTGGCCGGAGGTGGCCAGGGCCCACCAGGCATTGCAAGACCTGACATGGCGTGGACTGGGAATGTGGCCCGCAGGGCAGCCCCTTCCCTGCAGCACCAGCTGGGCACAGCCACCAGCAGAGCTGGGATTATCAGAGGCTGGGCTCGGCCCAGAGGGGGAGAAAGGGTGTGGGGGAGTGTTCCGCGGGGATCACACCATCCACGAGCGGGAATGACATAGCTGCGAAGGACCAGGCTAAGTGCTTCTGGAGCAGAGGTCCCAGCTGGGGACGCAGGAGACCCCAGAGTAACCGGGCCGGGCGGGTGAGAGCCACGGTTAAATGGTGAAGTGTTTGAAATCCAGATTTCAGAGTCAGAGGTCAGAGCAGGGCCTGGGATGACCCTGGGAACGTGTGGTAGTAGGCCAAGAGCTTGGTAGGGCAATGGGGCAGGCAACCGGGAGCCCCGCCCCAGGCCCCATGGCCACGGGCCCCTCACCTATTGCCTTTTGGCAGTTGAATATCTTGAAGCCACCGTGCATACATGCTGCCAGAAGTAGGTGCTGGTGGTATGGGTGCCACCTGAGCCTCCACACGCCACCCTGCACAGGAATGTCTGCAAACGGCTGCTTCATGGCCCGTGTGTCCCACAGCAGAATGTGCTCGTCATAGCTGAAACGAGCAGCCACCGAGAGCGCGAGAGCCACACCCACCTGCTCCCAGGGCCCCACCCCATCCGTCCTCCAGGATTAGTCCCCCTCCAGCACCCAGGCGCCTACACTAGGGTGGAAAGTCAGCGCCCTTAAACACTGCCACAACCACATGGGAAAGGAGGTGAGAGATGCAAGGGGCTGGGGGAGCTGACCTGGGACTCACCTCCCCGTGGCCAAGATGTCCTCCCGGTGGGGATTGCTCTGGACGCTGCACACACCCATGGAGTGTCTGCGAGCAAAGTGTGCTGCCTGAGCAAGTGCCCGCAGGGCCCGGCTCCGGTGCCAGCACGGAGGCCACACGGGAACGGGAGGTGAGGGGCACCTGCTGGGGGCAGGCCCGTGATCTCGATTACCTCTTGCTGGTGAACACAGGTGCGCCAGGTGTCCTGGTGTCCCAGCCTTTCAGAAGGCCATCGTCCCCACCTGTGCGGGAACAGGAATGCCCTCTAACGATGGCACTGTCAGCAGGAAGTGGCCATTTCTAAGGGAGGGACTTTACATCTGTGCAGAATCCCCACGGGTGACTCGTCCAGGGCGGCTCAGGCTGCTACCAGGCAGGGAAGCCCCAGAGAGAGCACCCTGTGTGGTGAGCAGGAAGGGCAAGGCGGAGGCTGTCTGGAGACCAGGGGGTCAGGCGCAGAGTTCCCGGGGCCCACTCAGGCCTCGCGATCGACGCCCCCGGCTGCCAGGGCCCGAGTGGCCCACCAGAGCTGGGACGGAGTGGCTGGCAGGACGCAGCTTTAAAGGGAAATGCCCTTTGCAGGCTTACAGGGAAGAGGACCCCGTGCTTGTCTCAGGGGGATGGAAAGGACAGGAGGACCGGGGTGGTGGTGCCCCGAGTCACATCCAGTTTTTGAAGAAGAGCAACACAAGATACAGGGTGATGGTGGGATCCTGAAGGACAAGGAGAAAAGGCGAGGGGCAGGGCCCACGCGGACAACAGAGAGGAGCGACAGGAGGTGCCTGGGCCTGAGCATCCATCAACTGCAAACATGCCCCACCCACCCGCCTGCTACCCACCACTCACCATCCCCCATCCACCCCCCCACCATTCTCCAGCCACTCATTCTCAATCCTAGGTATTCACTGCACAGCCCCCTGCAACAAACAGAAGGGGAATGGGACGACCGATAATCAAGTGACCTGCAGAAGCAGCTGCTCCGGGCACGAAGTCTGGGAAAGCCGCAGGCGCCACCGCGCCGTGCTGTCTGGCTGTGGCCCTCCTCCCCTCACAGGCGGGGTCACCCCCCCAGGAAGCCTGCTCACCTACCCTTTCCTGCCGGGTCCCACCGCTTCTTCCTTTTCCCCTGCAGCTGAGTCACTCTTGTCACCCCTGCATGACACATCTCCAGGCTGCGCCTCACCCCCTTGCAGTCTACATTCAGCACAACCAGAGAACCTGAGATTTTAGGTCATTCCTTTGGCATCTGAATGCCACTCTAATCTTCAATGGCTCTGCATAAACACCGCAGTCCTTGCAGGGACCTGCAGGGCCCTGTGTTCCTGCCTCGGGACTCTGCCACCACCTACTCTACCACGGGCTCAGTCGTGCTGGCCATGCTGGCTGCTCGAGCAAACAGGCCCACTCCACTGTAGGGCCATGGCCGCCCATGATCCTGCCCTACAGCAGAACAGTATGCACCTGGCTGCAGTGCCCCAGCCCCTGCCCTGTTCTGCCCTGATGTTTCCTAAGCTTACTCCCTCTGACCCCTGTGCGAACTCCTTAGCCAGTGCCCTCTGCTTAGGGCTCACTGTCCACCCCTCCCACCCAACAAAAGCTCAGGGAATCTGGGAACCTGTCTGTCTCGTTCACCGATGTAATCCTTGCCCCTGAACAGCACTTGGCACAAAGCAGGCGCTTGGTAGGCACCTGCTGAATTAAACCATGGCCCATTATGCCCTTGCTCTGAATCAGCTGAACCTCAAGGCAGAACTTATCCAAGAAGGAGAGACCCCAAAGTTAAATCATCATTGTTCTCATGAGGCTGTTCAAGGCTGCGAGAGCACGTGATGCAGAAAGGATTCCCTTTAGGGAAGACAAGCATTACACACACGACCCTCATCAGGATGTGCACACAGTCCCGTTAGGGTGGCAGGCAACTGGGCCTGGCCAACATGTCTACGGAGAAGATCTCTGAGTCCTGCCAGGAACCACCAGAGACTTCATGTGACCAAACACCGACAGTGTAGAGAACATGGAACATATGAGGAAGAGAGACTGAGAACAAAGAGCCACTTGAAACAAGCTGGGCATGTGGGCACGGACTTGACCGACCGGCCAGGCCAGGGCCCTCTCGCACCGTGCCTCCTGGTCAGGGGCTGCAAAGGGTCCTGGTCCTGAGCGCACGTAAGACAGTTTGTAGGTTTCTAAGCAATCACTCTCTCTACCATGTGGACTGAAAAGAGTCAGGAATGAATGCACTTAGCTCTCTGCTGTGACAGGAGAAGAGAGGGAGGCCCAGACAGGTGGAGACAGGATCAACAAGCCTCAGACTTACAGGGAGGGAACAGGGCACAGAAGCATGTGATCTGGGCGACAAGACCCCAACCAGGTCAGGACAGCAAGGGAGCAGTGGGTGTGCAACAGGGCGGCACAGGGAGGCAGTGGCTCAGCTCCGGATCTGTGGAGTGAAGCGCCACACAGGAGCCACGGGGCAGCAGGCAAAACACAGGGGTCAGGGGCTCAAGGAAAGGTCGGGCTGAGCAACTGGAGGGCAGCCTGTTTCTGGAGGAGAAACAGGGACTGAGGTGCTGGAGCAGCAGAGGCCGTGGGATCTCTGTGACCCGGGGGCCGTGAGCCAGGAGAACGGCCTCTGGCAAGTGGGACGCTGCTGGGAGGCCGAGTGAGATGGAGGCAGAAGGCGCCCCCTGGACAGGCACCGAGCTGTCACGAGGACCTGAGCAGGAGGCCTGGTGAACAGGGTTACATCGTGCGGCCGCCTCACAGTCGCACAGAGCATCCCTTACAGCACTGCTCACCACAGGGCTTCGCACACCACCACGATGGGTGGGAAGGGAGTGGGCAGGTCGGTTCCCTGCCCCTCTGCACATTCGGCAGCCCCTCTTCTGTCTTCTCAGAGACCAGTGTCACCCACCTCCCTGCCTCTCCCCTGGGTACAAGCTGACCAAAATCCCCTCATGCCCGTTGTACACCCCACACGCATGCCATGCAGATGCCAGGGAAGGAAGCAGGGCTCTCTCGTGCGCCCTCTTCTTTGGGAAGGTAAGCTGTATCCAGAAAGGCAAGAGAAAAACCTGAAATCCAACATGACAGAGTCAACCCTGGGCCAGAAGTACCAGGCAAAAAGCGTGGGACTACTAGCACACATGGTTCTGGTGGGGGCGCACAGGGAAGGCAGTGTGACACAGAGCAGACACTAGCGTCTCACTCTATTGGACAGTGACTGTAATGGGGTATGCGGCAGGGACTTGATGATGGGGGGAGTCTAGTAGCCACAGTGTTGCTCATGTAATTGTATATTAATGATATAAAAAATAAATTAATTAAAGTAACAGAAAGCGTGGGACTGTGACAGAGTTTCTGAGCACGAGGGAGGCGACACCGAGGCTCCTGCTGCCCCGAAACCGGGGCCGGTGCCGCTGGAGACCCTGCAGCGAACTGCGCTCTGCTTTCTAAGGAATGACCGTGTGGGAAACACCAACTACAGCCTTTGCTCCAGGAGGTACATCCTCCACGGAAGCTCTCCAAGACCCCACGAGTCGGAGTCCCGGCCCCGACGCAGGCCTCCTCCGCCCCTGCCTCCCTGAGCACATCCTCGGGGGGACGGGGGCAGCATGGTTGCCTCCCTTATGGGGCCAACACCCAGCAGAGGAGTACCAACCTGAGTACACGATTTCTGTCTGCCAGTAGTTGAAAGCAGCAATCCAGGCTTCAAAGCAGTGGGCCTGCCACGTGGCCACACCCCGCAGCGCAGCATCATCTACCTTCAGGAGGTGCAGCTGTCCCGTGGAATCGCTGCTAACGATGTTCAGGGGCTGGTCACTGGCCCTAGACACAAGGAACCAGTGGAGAAACCCAGCTGGTCTTTGTTGACCCAAATTAAACTCGGCACCCTTTTCTGGTCCCCAACCAGGGACATCTTATGCCCCCATGACATGTCATGGCAGCGGTTCTCCACGGATCCCATACGTGGGTGAACCTCCCAAGAGGCCTGTCTGGGCTTCTGGCAGAGACCAAAGCTACCAAAGCTCGTCAAACAAACCGTTGTCGGCTTCTCTTGATGGAACACTATCCCTTTTATTTAAAAAGCTGGAATTTTTTACTTTTCAGATCAGGACTGGTAGTGGCAGTCCCAGGCTCGGGGAGCCACAAGCAAGGCTCGCATAAGGTGGCTTTGACTCTCTCCTGCATGAAAACAGGGCTGGGTCCTCAGAGCGAAGACTCGGGGCCCTCGCCACTGCTGGCTCTCACCTTCCAGTCCCCCCAGTAGACCAGTCCAGGGACAAGGCCAGACACTGCTTCTCCAGGGCGAGGCGGGAACACGGCTGCAGGGTGTAAGAGTTCTACTAGAGAGAAAGAAACACGTCCAGGGGAACAGCCAGGACCCCAAGAAGATCGCTTCTCTGGTTCAGCTGTGCCTCCGCCCCTCATTCGCTCCCGGGTGACAGACTGTGGCACTCATTCCCAGCAGCAGAGGACAGAGCCCTAGCCCTGCGGGAGCCGCCATGCACAGGACTTGCCCTCGTGTGACCTTGGAGAAGGCAAGGGCTGGTTTCCAGGCCCCCTCACTGTCCAGTCGCTCCTAGATGCCATCAGTGTCTCTGCGGGGTCCAAGACACACTGCTGGCAAACAGTCTCTACCTCCCTGGGCCTCCAAGCATCCTGGCACATTCTTGCTCCAGAGCCAGATAAAGGGAACTTTCCTCTGGTTTCCCTTTCAGAAGCCACAACTAGCCATTAGAATGCTATTTCCCTTTTCTAAGTTTTATCACTTAAGCAACCTGGACAGTACTTACCTGCATCAGCAGGCTCCCAGCAGGCCGATCCTGCCTCACACCTGGTTCAGGTACCCACAGTCCCCCTCAGGCACCTCCTCCTACTCCTGAGACCAGGCTGCTGCTCGCAGCAGCCTGTGCAAGTTCCTTTCTGCACAGACCTGCTAGCAGCCACGAGCGCAGCACCAGCCACCCCTCCACTCCCATCCCCGTCGCGCTCCATAGTAGCAGGCCTCCCTCCCCAAGGCAGGGCATGGTCTCGTGTGCCGTGCTCTCCACCCCATTACGTGAATCCTTGCTCCCTCCTCCAAATAGCAGATGTAGTCACTTTGCACATGCACAGTACAGGACCACTGTCAAACACTTGGAAAAGTTCACAAAGGAATCATGTCGTCTGAACTGTCAGAAACACCGTCTTGCACAAGAAATTCACTGCTATTCACCCCAGCATCATCCACCCAAGAATGCTGGTCCAGGCTTTCCTCACAGGAAACTCCCTCATCCACTGACAGGTGAATGAACAGCTCGTCACTTCAGCTCTTCTGTTGGTAACACATAAAGTGAGCTCTTCTCAGAGTTAGATGCAGACCTCAAAAACTTAAAGTAGACTGCATGCTCCCTTGGAACATTTTATGATAAAGTTCAGCACTGAACAGAAACTATCCTAGAAAAACGCCTCCCTCCAAAACCTTCGTCCTTCTTCCACCTCCCACTCCTGGCCCTATTCACTGACCTCAGATCTCACCAAGCGGAGCAGCTCTATGGTCCCACCAGCATCTGCCACACCCAAGAGGGCATGGCTGGCCACTGGGATGTGGCACCTGAGGAGAGAATTCACATGCAATCAGAATGTGGGGCATGCCCGGAGCGCCAGAGAGCATTACGCACTTTTAGTAGGTTATTATTTAAGTCCCAGCTCCAAGAGTGAGTTGGAGCCTACAATTCTGTTCCAGTGGGATTCCTCAGCTTAGCTTATGAATCAGAAAACTAGTGCCACTTTCCAGATTAACTCTAGGGCTCGGACACTGACTGACACAGGGAATGTGCCCAAGGGCACAGCAGCCTCCAAGTGCCAACAGGTGGGCAGAGCAGTAAAGAAATGAACCCCCAGCTCAGACAATTCCCCATCTCACTGAATGCTGCCAGGCATCAGGCTCCCCTGAAATGAATAGATACTCATGACGGATTCCAGACAGGAGAAATTGTTATCAAAGTCATACCATTTCAGATCCAGGATTGCAGAAGTGTCTCTTCTTTGGATCTCAACCAGGGGGCAAGCAGCGCTGTCCTCACTGAAACTATACAGATAAAGACGACCTAAACGGATTTGAGGCTCATCAACGTCCAATTCGCCCTACAAAAGAGGCAGATGTGTTCTGTGATCACCCTAACAGATACTACGGAATCCAAGGGATGGGAAAGGGATTCCGGGAAAGAAAAGGTTGGCCAAAACCCTGGGACTCTGCCTGGAAGCAGCCCCTCGGATTGAGCTGGAGAACTCTCTCTGCTCTTGCGATTAATGAACAGGTAGATAACCTCTACTGGACCCAGCACAGAATGCTCCTTCTAAGCCAACAGGGACCAGCTACCGTTAGTCACGAGACCCAGTTTGCCTGGGACAGTCGTGGCTCAGGCCTGTTGATCCAGTGCCAGTTCTCATTGTTATATATCCTGGTTTGGATCCGCATAGATGCCTTCAAGAGATCAAGTACAGCTGCTAGGAAATCCCATTTTTTCTTTATACTTAATCTCCCAAGTTTGAGCTATGTCTGCATATAGACAACATTCTGCTTCTAAGATGCCTTCGTTTCTAACACACCATCTGGCATCTTCACCCCCGTGTGACCGCTCTTTCGTCCCCACCCCCCGTGGCAGACCAGAGGTCCCGACATCCGCCGTAGCTCTGCCGCTAGTGCTCTAGTGTAGGCCCAGGGACCCAGGTGGAGACCCCAGGAGGGCGCCGCGCACCTTGCTCCCCGGGCCGGCGGGCTGGTCCCCCGGCTTCCGCAGCTGGTAGGTGCCGCACGCCAGCAAGTGCCTGCAGCCGTCCAGCGGGCACCACTCCACCGAGTCCGCGGTGTACTCCGTGTCGACCGCCTGTAACAGCCGCATACGGCTGCCCGCCGCCCAGCAGTCGGCGGACTCGGCGGCGACCGGGCAGCGGAGGCAGAGTGACGAGGCCAGGTTGAGAGCGGGTGCTGCGAGGCCGGGGCGGCGGCGGGCAGGCGCGAGAGCGGCGGAGCCGAAGACCGCTCAGCCCGGTACTCCCCACTTCCGTAACCGCGCGCCCGCCCACTTCCGGGACGGCACTTCCGGTCACCCTGGCGCACCGGGCAAGCCGGGCCGCGGCGCCCCCTGCCGGCCGGCGGCCCTCCCGGTACTCGGGGGGGAGACGCGGGGCGCCGGATGGGGGTTTTGAGGGGTCAGTGGAGGCGGAAAGCAGGTCGTATCAAGTGGAGGTGTGCGAAGGACCTGGGCAGCCGGGGCAGGGCTCGAGGCAGGCCTCGTTCCACCTAGGCGGCCGCCCATGGGGCAGGAAGGCCTGCTGCCAGGACGGCAGAGCAGGGGCATGGGGCCAGCGTGGGGTGCCTGGAGTGGCACCGCGGGGCACAGGGGGCGGCAGGGCCAGGAGCCAGGTACAGACTGAGGGCATAAGGGAGGAGGCCCAGCACAGCCGTGGCCTGATTTGAGAGGCTGATCAGGGGCTGACGCCATTGAAGAAAATCAGCACACAGAGCAGGCTTGGGGAAGGCAGGTTCCAGACGTTGTCATGGATTGAATTGTGTCCCCTGAAAAGAAGTATAATCCGATCAAAATGATTCATGGGGTGGGGGTGGGCTCACCAAAAGGACCATGTCCTTTCGGAGAGGGCATTTGGTCGGCCGGGGACCACCCTTTCCAGAGGGGAGACCATGTGATGCATCTACAAGGCAAGAGGCCTGACACGCCTCCCAGTGCCTTGGAGGGGGGCACGGTCCTGCCACCCTGAGATGAGGCTTCTGGCCTACAGAACCGAGTCGCCCAGCTTGCTAGGGCAGCTCCCAGGAACTGGAGACGCGCAGATGGAGATCCGCGTGGGTGCGGGCTTTCGGCCTGTGGTTTTGAAGCAGGGCTACAGCTAGAAATACAGGAATGAGTCAGCAGCTCAGATGGCAACTGAAGCAGAGAATTAAAGGTTGGTCAAAAATCAACAGGACGTTCTGATGTGGCTGAACCACACATCTCTCTGGTACAAAAATGGTCAGGTCAAGTGGCCCCCATACACCACAGTCCGAACAGAAACAAGCCCATTTTAACCATCTGGATGTTCAGCTTTCAAACACGCTCTCACATGTATGACTACAAAGATCAAGAGACTGGTGCCATCAGAAAAGAAACTAGGAGCTGAGTATCAGATAAGGGAAAAGGGAGGCAAGCCGCGCAGAAGTGCCTGTGGACACCTGCACGGCAGTGTCCACTCCAGGGGCCACGATGGCGCCGTGAGCCAAGGGAAGGCGTGTCCCATGGGAACCTGTAACCCCCACTGCCAGCTCCCCAGCTCGCACCAGGGTCCTCCACCAGCACAGACTTGGGCCTCTCCAACAAACAGCACTAGCGCACGGCAGGACCAGACAGGGACGGCAGTCAACCGCAGCACCAGCTCCCAGCAGCCACACTGGACAGCTATCCCGGGTCAGCCACGTGACACAGCAGAAAGCAGCAGGGTGGTCAGGACCGTGCGGTGCTCTACAGGTCAGCCGAGGGCCCCTGGGCATTCCCTTCCAATGGGACAATTTGTGGCCAGGGAATATAGCCAGGAGTGCCAACCTGGCCCCTCCCCAAAGGCAAACCCAGGGCCTGCATTCCAGCACCTTGCCCAGGGCCTTTCTACTTGAAAGCAGACTGCCTCAGCACCCTCGGACCCACGGCTGGCAGACCACCCGAACCCCAACTCTGGAAGCAGGAGTCACCCCAGCATTGGGAATGTCCGAAGGGCTCAAGCCAGCTGCTGTCCATAGGACCAACTGCCTCTCAGGACAACAGGCATCCCCTTCCCCAAGACCTTTCTGAGCCCCCGTTACCCCTCAACCTAGGGCCTGGAGGACCCAGAGCGGGCCTCACCTCTGCAGCCGACGTCCCGGGCCCGCGAGGTGCACCTTCCTGATCAGCACAGTGGCAAAGGGGGGCTTCTCGGTGAGAACACATGGGGCCATGGGGTGCTCACCTCCAGAGACCCTCCCTAGGGTTCAGGACTGGGCACCTCCTGCGCCCACGTGTGTCCATCACCTGCTTCTGGGCCCTGCTCTTTAGGACGCACTGCCCAAGAGGACTCCAAGTACTACCAAAGGAGGTGCTGGAACCTCAGCTCACAGTCGAAAGGCCACCAAGGGGCTGTCCGCAGCCAGAGGAAGCAACAGGAACACACAGGGCATCCTGGAAGATGGCAGAGGAGCAGCACGACCCGGAGGACAAGGACATCCCAGGACAGATGGTCAGAATCGGGGTGGCCAGGTTCATTCTCCCAGAAAGAAGGCCCCTAGTGTTTGGCTGGCTGCACCTGGACACCAGCAAGATCTCGGCCACGCAGCCTGGCTCACTGCCCCAAGGTGGTTCTGCAAGGTTACAAGATGCTGCTTGGCCCTTGGACACCTGTGGCTCCCAGAAGCGGGGAGACCTGGCCTGGGGCCAGAGCCCTGTACAGTGGACAGAGAAGCAGCCCTCACTCCCCCTGGCTGCTTCAATTCACAGACAGGGCCTCAAAAGTCCTGCTGGGCAGAAGCCCCCACTGTTGAGCTCCCAGACACTCAACACAAGAATCAAGGTGGGAGTTTACCAGGGCGGAACCAAGAACCTCTGTGCCACGGAACAATGGCCGGCAAATCACCCCCAGCATCTCCGGCCATAAAACCAGTGCAGGCCTGGATCTCACGCACACTCCCCGCCACATGCTCTTTCCAGAAGCTGAGGAATAGGGCAAACCTTCCTACCCACGCACTCAGACGACCACAGTCTGCTCAGATATAAGCCCCAACAGCATAACGGGTGGAGAGGAGAGCAGAGAAGGACAAGATGCTAGGCGATTCCACCCCTTTACTTTGCCGTCCAGACAGGACTCCCATGCGGCCACTCCTCGGGACTGTAGCTCCCGGTAGAAGCTCCTGCTGCGTGACAGACATGTGGCCGGACCGCCACCATTTCAGGATCAGAGCAAATGATTCTGCTTGTAATTTCTAACCATCCCACTGGCCTCCCCCCACCCCCCACCAAAAAAAAAAACTGTACATGAGTTTACAAACATATGAACATATAAATAGTAAGCGTCCTGGCAGGAGGCTCCCACTGCCCGTTGGAGATAAGACCCCAGGGAGCGCTGGCTGCGCAGTGCCTGTGCCCAGGGTCTTCTGGTGGCGGTGCCGTGTCGCTGGCTTCCTCAGCACCCCCAGGTCCAACCACCAGTCTGTCCGCTGTGCCCAGGGAGGACCTGGGAGCGAGCTGGGAGCACAAGGGCCGCGCTGCCGCCTGCTGCGAGGTCACCGCTCTGGCTCGAGCTCGTGCTGGAAGGTTCGTCTCCTCTCCCGACAGTGCTTCTTGTGGGCAGGCCAGTCCTTCTGCTGGCACTGGGAGCCGCAGTATCGAGCCACCTGGCAGCGCCCACAGATGTTGAACTCCCGGAGCTGAAAGGACACACACAACCACCATGCTTCACGGTCACGCCCCGGAATCAGACGTGGGGCAGAACCACATCTCAGAATCGGGAAGGACCCGGCAGCCCCGTCCACTGAGAGAGACACCGAGGGTGTGGGCCCTGGTCAGGTGATGGACAGCCACTGCATGGAGAAGCTGCAAGAGCCAGGGGCTCTCGGAGGGGCACCGAGGGGTCTGCGGGCATGAGACCCCCACCGGGGCTGGGCCGGCAGGTGTGCGGCCCGGAGCCAGCTCACACTATGGCGCAGGTACCTGCTTCTCGATCATGGTGCAGGGGGGATAGTGGCACTCATAGTAGGTGCAGGAATTCTCCTCCTCCTCCACCACGTCCCCGTTGGCATTATAGTACCGGGTCACGTTCAGGACAGGGAACTGCTCTTCTATGGGGTCCGTGGGAAGCTGCTGAATTGCGAGCCAGTATAAGCTTTGCTCCCTGAAAGAGAGGCCAAAGCATCAGGACACTTGGGCCAGGTGGGTGAAGGAATGGAGGGTGGCAATGACATGACTCCAGGTCAGACAGCTCGGGGTACCCGCCCCCAAACTCGCCCTGTGCAGCCTGACTTTACTCGGCCACCCTCACCGTGTGGGCGCATCTCTACTCCCCATCAAGTACTCAGGGCACCTTGTCTTTCCACTAAAAGATACAGAACAAGGCCATGCCTGCCTTGTTCACGAACGTCCCCAACACCTGGGACTGACAGGCACACCGCAGATACGACACCAAAGGCACTGGTGGAATTAAAAATAGACAAATTGGACTTACTGAAAATTTTAAAACTTTGCACAATGAACGGCTATCCACAGAGCAAAAAGGCAACTCTCAGAATGAGGTAAAATATTTGCACATCATATATGTGATAAAGAATTAACATCCAGAATATATAAAGAATCCCTAAAATTCAACAAAATAAACAGGTAAAAATGGGCAAAGAACCTGAAATGCACATTTCTCTAAAGAAGACATACAAATGGCCAAAAAGCACATCAAAAGATGCTCCACATCACTAATGCCCACGGAGATGCAAACCAAAACCGCAGTGAGACACCACCTCACCTGGGGGAAAGAGTGGCTCTCAAAATACAAAACAGCCAGTACTGGTGAGATGTGAAGAAAATGGAGCCCTCGTGCACACCTGGTCAGAAGGGAATTTGGTGCAGCTGTTGTGGAAAAGTGTGGGGCTCCTCAAAAAGTTAAAACCGGATTTACCTTATGACCCAGCAATTCTGCTGCCAGGTGTATGACCGAAGAATCGAAAGCAAGGTCTCAAGGAAGTGTTTGTACACATGGTGTTCATAGCAACATTATTCACAGTAGCTAAAATGTGGGAGTAACCTCAGTGTCCACGGATGATGGATGAGCAAAATGTGGTCCATGCACACAGTGTTATCGAGCCCTCAAAAGGAGGGAATCCTGACGTGCACCACAGCATGCAGGGACCTGGGGACACTGCGCTCCGTGAGACGAGCCTGACATGGAAGGACAGACCCTGTGGGACTCCACTCCCAGGAGGCCCCTGGAGGGGCAGGTCCACAGAGATGGAGGTGGGGGTGGGGGCAGGGGCTGGGGAGGGGCAGGGAGAAGTGTTCAGTTGGGGACAGACTCTCAGCTTGGGAAGGGAAGTTCTACGGATGGACAGAAGGGACGGCCGCACCTGCCTGATACCCCTGAACTGCACGTTTAAAAATGACTGAAATGGTAACATTATAGGATATGCATTTTACTGCATTAAGAAAAATTCTTTTAAGAAAAGAATGGAAGTCAGGATATGGGAGATGCTGCCTGCCCTCGGAGCCCCCTGGTGAAGCCCCATGAGAGAGAGGGGCGGAGGCGGGGTTTAGTCCCAGCCGGCGCTGGGAGGCAGAGAGGAAGGAGAACACACCTGTGCAGAGGCCCTCACACCCCACAGGAGCGACGCCAGGAAAGCAGGGCAGGAGCTGCGGGCCTGGAACAAGCCACAGTTCAACTCGCTCCCTCAGAGGGGACGGTTCCCCCAAGAGCAGGCTGCGGAGGCCAGCAGCTGAGAAACGGCAGGAGATGGAGCGCCCGGCCAGCTGGAGCTGGGACCACACTCGGGCTGGCTCCGAGCATGACCAGAGCAGCAAACACTGCCCAGGGTCTACACCCGGGGAGCAGGCCAAGGACAGCCCTACCTGACTGGCCCCTGGGACGACACACAGGATGGAGGCTGACGAGCATAGACTCGGGGGCTGCTCCTGGGCCTCCCGGGAGGAGAGAAGGGGGGCAGAAAGGCCATGCCAGCAGAGACCACCAACAGGCAACTGGGGTGAGACTGACCCTTTCCCAAACTGGCGTTATGAACAGCAGCTACTTAATAGCGTGACCACAAAGGGTGTTGCAATGAGCAGAACTAACATGTGGCCACAGGACAGCTGGACCTTCAATCACATGGAGGTCTGCCTGAAATGACAGAATTCACAGCCCAGATATCTTGGGGCACAGCTCTGCTGCTGGGTGAGGGGTGGGCAGCAGGAGAGCATATGCTGCCAGGAAGGCAGCCCCCAGTGCCTACACCGCACCTGCTGGGCAGCCCAGGGGCCAGGGTGCGGAGCTGCACTTAGCCTTCCGTTGCCAAAACAACCTTTGCCCCCTGCCCCAGCTGCGGGGTGGCCAGAGCTGGTCCCAGGGCTGCTTTGGTGCCACCAGGACACCCACCTGTGGGGAGCAAGCCTGCAGCTCTGGGCCAGTCCAGAGGAACAGATTGGAGGCAGCAGCTTTGTGACTTTTTACATCTCAGCCAGGGAGCCAATGAGTGCCCTATTTTTGCTACAACCAAATTGGTCCCAGTTTCTGCCACTTGCAAGCAAAAGTGCAGAATAACATAATCCCCAGGAAAGCAACAAACCTATTCAACTATTATAAAAGGGTCAGCTGCCCCCAAGACCAATGTGAGGAAATTTAAGGGTCAAAGACCAAACTTTTAGAGCAGGAAGCCCCAGCCCCTGCTGTCCTGCCGAAGTGATGGGTGTGTGCTATACAGGACACCCCCGGGCTGCAGCCATGCCAGTTTGGGCACAATCCTCACAGCCGGGGGGGACTGTCTCCTCCCTGCCAACAGTGGCTGGCAGAGCGGTCCCCGCCCACTTCCCCCCTCCACCCTGTGGGGCTCCAGCCACCTGACAGTGACAGTGGTGACTGGGAAGGTCCCACCGGTCTCCACCCATCACTAAGAGATTAAGAAGCCCCAGCCCCTCAACCTCACTGACGTCTGTGGGAGTAATGGGGAGGCCACGCCACTGATGGCCCGAGGACATGCTCAGAAACCCTGGGAGCCAGTAAAGGACGTGCAGCCGAGGACATGGGTTCATTCCAGCCCCGACTCCCACCCTGATGGCCCCCAGCTCTTCCCAAGGAATCTGTGAAGCTCAGGACCTGCCCTGGGAGCACCCTCCCCACCCAAGCCGGATGCTGGTGCTATTCACAGTAGAGGCCGTTTTCAGGTGGAGGGGTGAAGGCCAAGCAGCCAAGACTCCAAACCACACTGTCCTATTTCCTTTAAGCCACGGCTCAGGCAAACTGTTTAGCAAAAAGCATGACAAAAGGACCCGTGTGCACAGGGCATCCCTGTGACTCAGGCACCAGATGCTTCTTGGGCTCGCGGCAAGTTTTGCCCATCAGCAGGCGTCTGACCCAGACAACCTCCTCCCCACTAGAGCCAATCAACCCAAAATGGTAATCATCAAACTCTTACCTGGCTCTCATAAAGGCAAGGAGGCCCACACTTTGAGGGAAAGTAACTAAGGTCTCCAAACCCACAGAGGCCTCAGCACAGAGCAGAGGCGTGGGCCCCTCTTGGGAATGAGAGCTTGGGGGTGGTCTTCCTCAGACACGCTTCTGCCAGCATCTTTGCCCTAAGGAGACCCACCTCTGCTTGCTGGAGGTCTCCTCGGCATTGGGCCGCCAGCCCCATGGCACCAGCTGCAGGTTGTCCAGGCGGTTGTCCACCGTCACAGTGTTGAGATGCACGACCTGAAACCCGGGCGCGACGCCCCCCCTGTGCCGCTCCCTAGGAAACAGACAACGTCCTAGATGGCTTCTCTGACCTTCCCGGACATCGCAGCCACATGACCTGGACTGGCCCCTTGTCACACTGGCAGGGACACATCAGAAACAAGGCTGCCAGGCAGAATCCAGGTATGTCAGTCTGTGGCCCAACCAGAACAACCCATGTTGACGGCTCACCTCCTGATTCAGGAATGGGGTGCAGGGAGCCACGGCTGGAACCCCAAGCCATCAAACACACAGCGTGGGGACCACCCACTGGAGTGGTCCCGAGCATTTCAGAGCCCCACTGTGTGCACCAAGAAGACGCAGCGCCTTCCCCACATGCCACCAACAGGCTCAGCAAGAGCCTGGTGAGGGGGTCAGACCCACCCTCCCCCAGAGGAGGAAGCAGCTGAGCAGAAAGTACACTTGGTATCTGGAGACTTTTCGCCTGCCCTCTTAGTGCCACCTAATGCCCATCAGCCACTCTTCTGAGCAGTGGCAATGACACAAGAGCAACTGGGAGACTCAAGAAAGCAGCAAGGACAGCACCTCAGGGCTCACGCAGGAGCCAAGGAGAAGCAAGTAGCTTGAAAATACCCACCACAGCAGCTCGTGAAGGAGCCTCCCTGAGCCCCGACCACGGTTTTTGTCAAAGGCATATGCAAATATCTTAGCACCGTTTCCATCTGCGTCTACTTCCATCCGGGCCTGAGAAGGAAGAAGGAGCAGGTCTGTTAAAAGGCCTCCAACTCCCAGCAATACCTCAAATCCCTCTTAGAAAAGACCAGTGGAACCACCAAGCCAGAGGAAACAATGCCTGGCCTTCTGCTGGGAGTCGGGTCTGCAGGGAGGGCTCCACCAGACCCAAAGCGCAGAGAGCCGACCATGTCCGGGCGAGCATGCTCTTACATCTGAGCAAGACACACTCCTGAAGCACTCTTTGCAGAACACCATGGACACAAAGAAATAAGTTTTCCTGCCCTTAAGAAAAGCCCACAATCCAGTGAGAAAGATAAACCCTGAACAGGCAGCTTCTATAAAAGCAAGGGCTGAGATAAAGGTGTGGTGGTTTCCAAAGGAGGTGGCAGGATGGTGGCACACAGACCGGGGGACTCGCGGAGGTGAGATGGGGGGCTGGAGCACAGGGTGTGATGGGGCCGAGGTCAGGGGAAAGGCGAGGTGAGGTAGCAGTGGGCAGTCTCCTAGGGAGCCCGGGCTTGTAGGACACAAACATGGCACAATTCGGTCTGCTGCTCAGAAGAGCCAGCAACCGGGGAGTGGGTGACCGACAAGGCAGTGGCAGCCAGGTCGCCCTCATGTCACAGGGAAGAAAACCCATCCGTCCATCACGACCCTCCCCAGGCACTGACCAAAAGCAGGCCGGCAGAGGGGTGGCCATCCTTACCTCGAAGGAGTAGCCCTCCACCAGCGGGATGTCCTGCTCGTCTATCAGCGTGTACTTGGTCTGCAAATTAACCATGTGTCACGACATTACCCTTGGGACCAGGGTAAGGTGCTGGCAGCAGGCGGAAACAGCCCCTTCAGACTAAAGGGGGAAACCAGATGAGGGGCACGGTCCATTCCATCCCAAAAAGCAGGCAGACGTGCTGAGAGCTGGCCATTTCCCACTCGAGACTGTACCAGAGCAGCAGGTTCCAGGCTCCACTTCCCTGGCATGAGACTAACCACAGGAAGCGCCCGTAGCCCGGCCAACCTCTGAGCCGTGTTCTAACGTGCCCACACACCTAGTCCAAAGATGCAGCTTCTCGGGATTAGAGAAAAAGGACCAAGACTGAGTGGGATATTCAGAAGGGTTCTGCTAACACTAAACTGGGTGGTCGTACACTGGTGTTCACTGAGTTGTCCTTTTTAGCTTTTTGCCTGTTTGAAATGCTCCAAATAAAATTTTAGGGGATGATATTAATGCCACCAGTCCCTGAGTTAGAAAGGTTCTCAGAGCTGATGGGGAGCCCGCCCTTCCCTGGTTAGGAAGCCGCAGCCTTCTTGCAGGAGACAGGAAATGGTCCCCCAAAAGGACCAGTCTCACTCTTGCCTGGAAAGCTTTTGTCTAGGATCTGAATCGGTTTTACCTTCATCTGACTGCCTCTGCTCCTCTCCCACCAGAAGCTTCCGCCGCTGGTGATAGGAACAGGGTTCCCATCCAGGGTAAGGTCCGCGGCTGGTGCAGCTGCACGGCGGGCCGGCTCCTGGAAACAGCCAAGCCTCAATGCCCACAGGTGCCAGGAAGCCCAGCCTCGAACACGCGGAGGGCGGGGCCAGGTAAGGGAGAGAAGCAGAGGGACGCCCTGCTCTGGGGCCCACTGAGGTCGGCCAGACGTGGCCACCGCTGCAGCGCCAAGCCTGCGCGAAGCCCCGCCGCGGACCGGCAGGCACGAGCGCCCCCCGCCGCCCAGGCGCAGCCCGCCGGGCCCTCCTCCCGGTCACGGTGCGCGGCGCACGGTCCGCCCAAGGCCGCGCCGCAGGAGGGCTGCCACGCGCCCCGGATCCCGGGCCCCGGCCCTCGGTCCCCGCCCCCCGATCTCGCGTCTCCGGCCCCGCATGCCTGGCTCTCCTGGCTCCGGCTCCGCACTACCCGGCCCGCACCTGCCGCCCTGCGCCACTCACCTTCCCTGCCACCCGGCCGAGCCGCACGATGCCCAATTTGAAGTCGGTCATGGCCGGGCCTGCGCTCGGCCGGCGGCGCCGCTCCCTCGGGAGGCGCCGGGCCGGGACGGAGTGGGCCGCGGCGCGCCGGCCGGGCGGGCCGGGGTCGGGCCGGGCAGGACGAGGCTGGGCCGGGCTGGGGCCGCCGCCGCCGCCGCCTCGCACCCGCCGGTCCTGCCACGCGCCGCCGCCGCCGCCGCCACCGCCGCCACCGCGCGCACCAGGGCAAGCGGGCCTGGGGGCGGGGCTCGGTGCGGACACACCCCCGCCCGCTGCCGCCGGGCCAACCGCGGGGCGCGCACTTCGCCAGCCGGCGCGCGCCGCCGCGCCGCGGCCAATGGGAGGAGAGTGAGTGCGCCGGCGCGCTGCGGAGCAGGGCGAACGCTGGGGAGGGAGAAGCTGGGGGCGGTGCCTGCCCGGCCGCCCAGCCCAACGTCAGTTTCGCGGGAAGCTTTGTGTTGGCTGTGGGGCTCGGGCTCCCGATCCGGGCCCCCAGCACCCTGATCCCGGCCCCCGGCCCCCGGCTTCGACCCCGTGGCCGGAACCTGGTCCCGTGCCGCCCCTCTAGGAGCCGGCTTGGCTATGCGCTCGGGCCGCCAGAGGGGCCCTGCAGCTGGGGTCTCTGCGGGACTCGCCACGGCTCCCGTGGACGCTCCCCCGTCCTCAGGGCAGCGGGCAGGAAGCTTCAGGCCACTGTGGAGCAAGGGCGGGCCAGTGCCTATACGGCGAGGGAAGACGGCCGCCTCCAACCCACCGAGCTGCCGGCTGGCCGGGCACTGACAGCCGCCTTCCCTGGCCACGGACTATCTCCTCCCGGAACAGCCTGGTCCAGGGCCTCCCTAACGAGGAACTCCAGGGCCTTAGGGGGGCCTCCTGCCTACCACGCGTGTCTCCTGGCAATACTCCAGCCGCCCTTCACCCACACCACCCGCTGAAATTGCTCTCTACACAAGTGCATGACGCTTGTATTCCAGTGAGGCGGGCAGCAAGGTCCATGAGTTCTATGCCATGTTAGAAAATGACAGATGCTGTGGGGAGACAAGTAGATCAGCTTTAGGTTTTGGGGGTTTCTAATGAAGGTGGTGGGCAGAGTAGCCTCATCGACAAGTCACTTTGAACAAGCGTTGGTAGGATGAGGGTGAGTCGTGTGGCCACATAGGGAAAGAGCTTTCCCAGCGGAGGGAAGGGCCACTGCAATGGCCCTGAACTGGGCGCATATCTGGCACATTCGAAAAGTGGACGTGGCCCTTGTGACCAGACTGCAGTGAACAGAAACAACAGGGGATAAGGCCAGAGAGGAGGGGCTTTTACACCCAGGAAGAAGTGAGGCCACTGGAGGATTTGAATAGAGGAGCAGCTTTCCAGTGAGACACACCGGCTGACGGGGACTTGGTGTGTGGGGAAAAGGATGGAAGCAGGAAGGCTGCTAGCAAGTGAATCCGAGCACCAGCCAAGAGAGGCGTTGGGACGTGTGGGGCAGTGTTCTGTGGCAATCAGGGGCGCCCTAGTTATCCTACAGTGGCAACCCCAGATTCTCAGAGGCTTAGCAAAATAAGTATGTGTTTCTCTCTCAGGCCACATGTTAAGGTTACAAGGCAGTTGAACACAGGAGTATACAGTTCAGGGGCAACGTCAGCCTGGGGGTATACACTGGGTGTTCATTAGCATATTTGTTGCATTTAAAGCCATGCAACTGGATGAGATCACTATGGGAGAAAATGCTGATAGAGGAAAAGAGAGGGCAGAGGCAAGCCCTAGGTATTCCCATATTAAGGGGAGGAGAGGTTGGAAAGAGGAGGACACAATAAAGGGAATGAAGATGCCAGGTAAGAGAAAGAGACGGGGGTGGTCTGGGAGCCAAGTGAAGACAGTGTATGCAACAGTTACATTGCCATGTGAGTGAGGGACCAGCTACATCAAACTCTGCAGACAGGTCTCATACAGAGAGGACTGGGAATTAATCTATAGGTTGAAAAACACAAGGGCACTTGTTACCTTGACAAGCAAAGTGTGTGGATTAAAAGCGAAGTGTGGGTGGGTCACTGGGAGTTTGCCAGTGGAATGGCCAGCCTACCCCTGTCTGCCCTCTAGCCCCTAATGAATGAATCTTGCTTCTCCCACACGAAGATTGCACTCAGCCTCCCAAGACCCCCAGAATTACCATCTCGTTTAGGCATTTGGCTAGGGTCCAGTCTCTTGTGATGTGCAACAGGGCCAGATGTGGATAAGGCACCCCATTTGTGGGCCCTTCTGCTCCAGAGACATGTTTCTGCCCCCACCCAGTGCCCAACATTCCACAGTGAAGCACAGGATAAATGGATAGACACCGCATTCAAAGAGGAGGGGTGTACCCTAAAGACACTGGTTCATAGAGTTTTGAAGGCCAGCCAGACACCTGTTCACAGTGTTCCCTGATGGGGGCATATTTGCTCCCTGCAGATGTTTCCCTCATCTCCTATTTCCAGCAGTTCCTGGCTTCCCCCTCTGGGCTCCCAGCCTCTGCAATCTCTATCATCCTCTCTATTCCGTAGGAGATGTCCCATGTCTGCAGCTGAGTACCTTCCTCAGCCTGCTTCTTGCCTGTGGAAAGTTGAGGGCTCAGAGTCCTCTTTTATTTCAAACTCTGTATATTTTAGTTCAAGCAGATACAAACCTTAAAAAAAACTGCGGATTTTCTACCAAATTTTACCTCATTTAATTAGACAAAAGCTACACCGTAAATGCTGGGAAGCCTCTTCCTTCCTCTCTGTCCTGGTGGCTAGAAGTCAGATCAATGGGTCAAGAAGCCCTTTTACATGCTGACCGAGTCTACGAGGATTGCCCCCCCACCCCACTCCACAGAATCTTTCAGCGGTCCTAACCAGAGATCATACAAACACACTATTGAATTTATTTTAATCCCAAGGTCATATTTTGTTGGCAGTATCCTGGATTTAATCTTCACCATGATGCCATTTCTTACCTTGAGAACCGTTTGCTGCTTGGAAAGGCTGGGAATGAGAAATAGGTTTAATTTTCTAACCCAGCAAAATCTGGCTTGGAAACTTCTGCTGGAACATGGAACTAAAGTTTCTTCTTTAGTTCATTTCTATTTTCTTTATTCCAGTTTAGCATAAACAACTGAAAGAAGCCAGTTGGCCCTTATAAGTTTTCTGTCAAGAAATCAGATCATTAGACCCATTTTCTGTCTTCCAAGTTACCACAGGCAATAGTCACGCCACTGCACTGCCCATGTCCTCCCGCTGCCTGCTTCCGGAGTCAGTGCCACATTTTAGAATTTGGTCATGGCAGTATATCACTTCTATAGCAATTGTTCCAATTATCTATTGCTGTATAATAAACCACCCTGAAACTCAGTGGCTTAAAGCAACTTTATTTTTTCATGAATCTGAACTCGAGTGGTTTTAGCTGGTTGTGTCTTCTGCTGTTGACTGGCGTGGTCAGTTGTCTGAAATTTTGTTACCAATTCCTCCCTCCCTGTAAGCATGTGATGCTCCACCCACACTAGTCCTCTGACTGTCTTGATGCATTTAATGTGGTAGAAAGTTTCAGGACTTTTGGACTGGCAGCTTTACCTTCCTCCTTGGGGGCCTGCCACCAGGTGATCAGTGTCATTATCTGGAGACCATCATGCTGTGCCGAACCCCAAACCAGCCAGGCAAAGCGGCCTCATGAAGAGATGCCTGGCCAGCCTCCAAGTGAAAGTGGCAGAAGTGTAAGCATTCTATCCTCAGCAGACACTGTGCAGAGTGGGAGAGCCTCCTGATTGGGTGCAGCTTAGTTTCCAGAATAAGCAATAAATGTTGGGTTGGTTTATTACGCAATAGCAGACATCAACGCAGCCAGGGTCCCTCATGATGCCATGGCCATCAGGGAGTGTTCATTCACATGTCCAGGCACTCACTCTGTCTCATGGGCTCTCCAGCAGGATAACCAGATGTGTTTATGTGGAAGCTCAGGGCGCCAAGATAATAAAAACAGAAGCCTCCCTAGAGCCTGAACTGGTGTGGGATCTCTTTGGTCAAAGTTCTGCCAAGTAAAGCAAGTCATGGGGGCAGCCCAGACTCAATGGCAGGGGATGAAGCCCACCTTCTGGTGAGGGAAGAGGGTGGAAGTAAAGGGAGGGGAGGAGTTTGGGGCAGATATCCTTGCAGACAAACTAACCAAGCCCTAGGAGGGAGCTGCTGAAGACAGCTGGAGAAGGTCCTCAGAGGAGAGGAGTCATGGGAATGAGAGTTATATTGAATACATTGTTTTTTTTTTTTTTCTGTATCTTACAATGTTTTGAAATCTTGGGGCCCTGGCTGGCTGGGGACAGACTGCACCTCCATGGCTGGCTAATTCCTCTAGCTAGCAAACAACTTGCCCGGGAGTACAGCTTTCATATGAAAACTAGCCAGTCCACAGCCCACATCACCGACCATCTCCTTTATCCAACTCACACACTTAGCTAATATTCCCATCCTAAATCATAGCAGGGCCAGGAACTGGACAGCTAGAGGCCACCCCTATAACCCAGAGCCCACTGAAATCATTCAAACTGCCCAAGCTTGCTCTAACTTGCCTGTGCTGCACAGCCCATTCCTTCCCAGGCAAAGTGTGATAAAGGCCCTGGGACACGCTCTCCTTTGTCTCCTGTCTGGCCACGTGCTTCGTATGTGCCCCTCCTCTTGGGAATTTTGAGTGCAAAGCCCTTCGTGCAAGGCAGTGACTCTCTGTCACTTTGCCATACTTCACTGAAACGAATCCCAGGTACATTTTAAGATAGAGGCCAGGAGGGGAGATGGAGAGGGTCCCCTCTGTGGATTCTGACATCACTAGGAATTCCTGCAAGAGTGGTGTTGGAGAGGACAGTGAGTCAGGAGCTGAAATTGCCAAGAAATGGGGGGGCCTGGGCTGGGCTTTGAAGATGACAGCAAGAGTGGAGGGCGGAGGATTGCAATTCTGAGAAAACGAGAGTTAAAGGGTGAGAGGAAATGGTCTGTAAGTGGTCATAGTCAGGGGAGTCTGCACTCTGTCTCCAGGCCCTGGGGCACATGGGCTTCATGGGAATGAGTATCTATGCTTGAGAGGCTGGGGGAAGCCTGGGTTCCACAGAGCAAGAAGGAAGGAATATTTAGAGAAAAGAGAAGTCAGGGTGTATGTGCTGATGGCGGATGTGAGGGCCCAGCAGCAGAATTTCCCAAAAGGGGGATGAGTGGGTAATGGCGTCAGAATAAAAGGTATGCAGAGCCATAAGGGGTCCAGCTGAGGGAGATAAAGGGTAGCCTGGCACAAAGGCCACCCATTTTCTGCCCATATCCACTCCATCTCACAGCAGCTGACAGCTTCTCTCCCTCCTTGGAACGCTTCCTTCTCGACTTCCGTTGTAGACATTTGGAATTTTGGGGCTGCTCACAATCCCCAGCTTCCCCAGGGCAGCCTGCTTCTTGTTAAGGATTACTCCACTTGCACAGTATAGACAGGAAAGTGTCAAAAAGTGTGGCTAATCAGACACGCCCCTCTGGAACACGAGAGTCCTGAGGAAGGTGGGGGCAGCAGTGCCCTCTCTTTTTCCTGGAGTGCTAGATTAGGCTTCTGCGGCTTTCACCGGCAAACTCTGATGTCATGAGCGCCCTGACCTGAGTTACCAGCTACAAACGGGTGGAACGAATCTCAAACTCTTGCCTGCACCCAGACGCCCAGTGCACGTGGGTGCCTGGTGGGCGTCTGGCTGCTTGTCATGACTTCCCCACACCCCTGGTCCAGTCTCCTCGAAAACGCCTGTCTGGACAAAACTCTGAGTCGCCTCGACGCCCTGCTGAGGCCTCCGGCGTTTGGCTGGTCGGCAGGATCTCTCCATGACTCTCCAGGCGCGTTCGAGCCCACCCTCCGCAGTGTCGCTCCACAAGGTGCCCTTCACAGCAGTCAGTCCGAGTCGCTACCCGCTCTCCTGCGCTGCGCGCGCCACCCCTGCCCGCCCAGGTCTGCGGAGTCGGCCTCTGGCATTCAGGCCTTCGCCCCAAGTCGCCCCACTGGAGCGCTGGTGTCGTCCTGGTCGAGGGACGCGGGGCGGGGGAGACCCCGGGCGAGCCCGCCGCGACGCAGGCGGGGACGGGGAGGGGGCACGGGTCACGCCCGTCCCCTGTCCCGGTGAGCCCGCCACGCTCCCGGGGCACCCCACGCGCCGCTGGCCGGGTTCCAGCGAGCTGCGCGCGACCTTCAGCCTGCGGGACCGGAGGGGGCGGGGCGGGCTGGGAGGCCCAGGGGCGGGGCTGGGGGCGGGGCGGCCGGCCAGGGGCGGGCCCGGGCCCAGGGGGCGGGGGGCGGAGCGCGGAGCGCGGCGCCGGGCAGGGGCGGCACCTCGCGGCCGCCCCCGCTAGGGCCGCGGCATGGGGCGGGTGCAGCTCTTCGAGGTCCGCCTGGGCCACGGCCGCGTCGTCTACAGCCCGGGGGAACCGCTGGTGGGGGCCGTGCGCGTGCGCCTGGGGGCGCCGCTGCCCTTCCGAGGTGGGCGCAGGGTACCCCCAGGGCGGGCGGGCCGGGCGGGGCTCAGGTGGCCGCGCTCGCACCTGCGGAGGGTCCGGGGCCCCGGAAGCGGCTGCGGGTGGCGCTGGGCCTGCGACCCGCCGAGCCGAGGGCGCGCCGGCCGCCCCCTGTGTGCCCTCCCGCCGTCCGGGTAGCGCATCCGGCTCAGCTATAGCCCGGTGGCTGCGAGGAGGGCTGGGTGCGGCCTGCCGGGCAGCGTAGACCCGCGGGTGGGAGGCCGGCAGCGGGCAGGGCGGAGCTGAGAGGTCCGGGTGGCCCAGTCCTTCCGCATCTGCCCTTCCTGTCCTCCTGAGGGCGGCCCGAGTCGGGGCGGGGGCTTAGGGCTGTCCGCCTTGCCGAAGGCCAGTCTGACTTGGACACGTGCATGCCTCCGACCTTCCCTGTCGGGTATCCCGGGCCCGCTGCACCCACACTTGCGGGGCGCCCACCTGGAACCCCGCCCACGAGGGGCTTTCTCTTCCCACACGCCAGGCGCAGGCCCTCGTTTTTCACAGACGGCTCCCCGGGTGTGCGGATCCCTGCAGGGGCCACCCGGCACCCGCTTACAACCAGCCTAAGGCTTGTCCTTGCGGGCTGGGAGGGTCTTACTCTTCCCTGCGTGTCCCAGGCTTGGGCCCAGCAGGCATCCGGGGAGCTGAATCTGAGCCTTTCTGGCCGGTCTCGTTGCTGGTGCGGGCATCTGGGACTTGGGGACTGGGGATCAGGTTGCTGGTGCGGTCTTTGTGAGGGCTCTTGGCAGGTGCTGTCCTCTGACATCTGAGGCGTGGACAGGGCACTGGGTCAGGCTTCCCTTCTCAGGTCCCCCTTTGAGGCTGCAGGGTCTAGGCAGAAGCCGCGTGCAGGTGTCTCTCATCAGGCGTCAGCCCTGTGGACACTCCTCCTGATGACCCTGTTACTTCCTTTCCTGCCTCCCAGCTGGGGTGTAGGGTTCGGGTTGGGCCTGATCTGGTCATGGCAGGTGAACAGCAGGAACTGCAGCTCTTCCCTGAGCACAAGCAGGAGGTGAGGGGCGAGATGGGGCAGGAAGGCCCCTGGAGGAAGAGAGGGCAGGGCCGCAGGAAGGAGGGGCAGCAGACATGACAGAGCCCACGCAGAGCTTGCCACCTGGTTCACCCACCCCGTCGCCATCCTATAGCTGGGGCCCAGGGCGAGCAGGCCGATGCTGACCACCACGGAGGGATGGCTTGGGCTGTACGTGACTGGCCTGGGCTGTACATATTGCTCCCCATCTCCACTCCCCCCATGCCTGCCTCCCCCCACCCCCGCCTCTTTGTGGGGGTGGGATGTAAGTGAATGGACAGGGGGCCGTGGGCGGAGGGAGCTCCCCAGCCCCGCTGCTGATTGTCCTGACTGCAGAAGTGCTGGCTGAGCTCCTGAGTGGGGAAGGAGATGGTGGGGAGTGGGCTAGGAGCAGGCACACCACTGACTTCACTGACTTCAGGCCAGAGAGGGCTGCCCCCCCGTCAGGTGGACTGGATGTGGGTGATGGGGCTGCTCCGGGCTTCCTCCAGCCATGCCTGGGAGTGGGAAAGGAAGATACCATTGAGCTCCTTCTACCCGGCAGTGATGCAGCAGGGAAGCCCTGCACCCCCAGGAGGACAGAGAGGGAGGGAGGACAGCAGGCCTGTCTGGGGGGCTCCTAGTCTTGCCCACCCATACTTGTCTGAAGAGTGACAGTGACCGTCTGCACTCAGCCATGGGCACGCTAGCTGCCTTGGGGGCTGATGTGGAGGAAGCCTAGGGAAGGAGCTCAGGTCCAGCTCACCTGACACTGGGGGTCAGAGGCTACCCCGCATTCTGTTCTCAAGGTGTGCGATGCCCGGACAAGAGCAGCCAGCCCCCCGCTCCTCCAGCCCACTGAGTTCTCATCATGCACCTGAGGCTGTTCTTCCCACTTCCCAGCTCTGTGAATCCTCAGAAGCCCTGGGAGGTGGGCACTGTTAGTATGCTCATGTTACAGACCTGGGAACAGGGCAGAGAGGCGGCCCGCAGGCCAGAGGTGTAGCAAAATGATTTGCCGATGGCTTGGCTGCCCCAGGTTTGTGGGAGCTGGAGGATGGTGGGAGAACAGGGAGTGAGCAGAGGTTCATGGTCACACTGCTGGTGGGGTGAGGGAGAAGGGCTGCTGGACAGGAGTGCTGGCTTGAGAGGAACGTTCCGGAAGTCACTCTGGAGTACCCCCTATGTGATGAGTTTTCTTAGAGAACCAGAGCAGCCCCATACCTCAAAGGGTGGATGCACCGGCATGGTGTACAGTTCTGCAGCCTTTACCCGGTGCTGTGGTGTGAGGGGTGCACCATGCCAGGACACACCTGCCCCTGTCCTGTGACCATGGTCACCTCCAGCAGCATGGGCTAGGAGTGTCGGGCCTGCCTTGTGTCCATCCCCTGCGCCTCCACTGTTCTCCTGCAGAGGAGAGAGTGGACAGAGACAGGGTGGTTAGACTAAGACAGGGATTGGAGGCTGCTCATTCAGGCCTGGGCCCCAAAGGGGCCTCAGCACGGGTGCAAAGAAAGGCTTTTTCCATGGCATCAGGAAGGTCACAGAACTTGGGCCCCTCTGAGACAATCCAAGGGTTGGTTTGATACTGTTTGTTTTCCTGGGGTCAGGTGCCCTGTGGCTTGTTCACCTGGATTCCGGGGGCTGGGCCCAGGCCGGGTGCATGACTGTTTTAGCCATCCGGTTGGACCGGTGTGCTTGCCTGGATTGTGTGCTGTGAATAAGGGGTGTCCCTCCAGGCCCCTGGGTAGACTTGGTGAGATTCTAAGAACTGCTGTGTGTGTAAAACTGCACAGACCTGCCTGGTTCTTCCCCAGGTGCCCCATGTTAGCCTACCTTAATTGATATAACCAGCTCCTCTCAAACGTGTCAAATATTTAATATTTGCCAAGCTGATGGGTTAAAATAGTAAGTCATCTGAATTTCCCTGATTTCTAGAGGTTGGGCATCTGTTCTGTTATCTGCTACTATGGAGAAGTCACTCTGAAGTAACAAATCACTCCTAAACTAAGTGGCTTAAAACAACCGTTTTATTGTAACTCATGGTGCTGTGGGTTAGGAATTCAGACAGAGGGAGGCAGGGGGACGCTTCAGCTCGCTCTGCGTGCCATCCACTTGGGTCATCTGACAGTGCTCACTTGGCCCTGGGAGAGTCTGGGGACCAGCTGCACCCCTTCCAGCATACTCTTTTGGTCCCAGCATTCCAAGGGCAGCCAGAGTCCAGGGAGGATGCACCCTGTCCACGGGAGTGTTAGAGCAGGGTGGCATCTGGGACCCACCCAGATGTCTTCTCCTTAGTTTCTAGTCATGCTATGTCTCCTCTGCCTGTTCCCTTCCCTTCTGTGTTTCTCTTGGGCTGTGTTGGTCTGCAGGAGTACTGCAGGCGTCCCAGACCTCTGGGGTGGGAACAATTCCAGGTCTGGCCCTAGGAGGGGATGGCTGACAGAGCGTGGATTAGAAACCAGGGTTGTGGTCTGGATGGTGGGGCTGGGCTGGCACAGAGGCCAAGGGCTGGCAACTGGCAGTGCCCATGGGGTAGAGTGGAGCCAGGGTTTGCAGGGGGGAGGGGGAGGAAGCCCAGTGTGTTTGAGCAGCAACAGGAGGCCGGTGTCAGCAAGGTGGGGCCAGCCTGGAGAGACCAGGGGCACAGCTGCTGTGGCTGGCCCCTGACCCTGGGCATTGGGACAGGAGGTTCTTCTTGTTGGGTGGCTCTGTCAGGAAGGTGTCAGACTCTGAGCCTCCTTCCTCTCCCCTGACCACGGAGTTGGGGAAGAAGAGGGGCTGGAAAGGGGAAGGCTGATGTCTCTGGTACTGACTCAGCCCTGAGGGAGAGGAGGGCTGGGACCCCCATAGCCCTCCCTGCTTGGGTCTCTGGCCGTTGTGTCCTCCTCGGTGACTGGCTTTGGCTGGGCCTGGTCACCTAGCGGCCTTCTGGCTGTAGTGGGCTCTGGGCACACGTCTCTTGGACTGAGGAATCTGAGCTCCTGGCCACAGAATGGCAGTAACCTCTGCTGTAAACAGCTTCTTGTCTGTGCACCTTGCCTGGGAAGCTGGGGAGAGGACCAACCTATCGCTCAATGCAGAAAATCAGACCTCCCGGGCAGTACTGTCCCACAAGGTCGAGGGTGTCCCCACCTCCAGTGTGCCAGACTCTAAGGTGCCCGATCTACTCAGGCGGGTCTGACCACATTCCTGCAGCGTGAGGCCTCACAGTTAGCTTCCTGGAGTGGGAAGGGGTGCCTCCCAGTTTAACTGACTTGCCTGTGAGGCTGCACGAAGGTGGGGTCAGAGGTCAGCTGTTCATCACAGATGCCCAAGCACCCCAGTAGGGACCTGAGTTTTCACAGGTCTGACTGGCCCTGGGCTGGCTCGGAACCAATTTGCGGATTGCCCAGGGGTTATCTGGGTAACCACTGAGGCCCTCCTGTTCTGGATTGCAGGACAGATGTAACTCCGTGCTTCACCACCCTGGCCCCTTGGGAGTGCCTCACGATGGGTAGTGGGCAGCAGGCTCCTTGCTGGCCTCCCAGGGCCCAGCTGGGTGGGGCTGCCAGGCTCTGGGTTCTGCCAGCCCTGCTCGAATCCCTGTGCTAAATCCCAGGTCCGCATCTGGCTTACGCCATCGCTTGTCCCCTGCAGCCGTCCGAGTGACCTGCACAGGCTCCTGCAGGGTCTCTAACAAGGCCAATGACGGAGCATGGGTGGCGGAAGAGGGCTACTTCAGTAGCACACTGTCACTGGCCGACAAGGGTGAGTCTGGGCACCCGTTCCTTGCCTCGTCCCATAGTGACCCCCCCTGGGGGAGCCCCTGCTTGAGAGTGGAGCCTCTGGGGTCTCTGTCCTGGCTGTGCAGCCCGATGGCTCTCTCTCCCTGGTAGGCATCGGGCATCACCTTACAGGAACCGGGTGACCGAAGGGGGCCAGTCTCTCCTGGATCTGAGTGGGCTCAGGCCTCTGGAAGGGCCCTGCCCCTCTGTCCAAGCCAAGATCTGGTCCCCACTGCCCATGCCACGGCCCTGTCCTGTTGTGGCGCTGGAGACCAGCAGCCAGGCACAGCAAGAGCTGGTGTGCTCGTGCCTCTGACCTGGCCCTGCGGTGGCACTTAGGGGCCCCTGGGAGCCCCTGCCCCTGACAGCTGCCTCTCTCTCCAGGGAGCCTGCCTGCAGGAGAGCACAGCTTCTCTTTCCAGTTCCTGCTTCCTGGTGAGAGCCCAGCCTGCCGGGCCTGGTGCTGCCAGCGGGTGGGGAGTGGTCAGGGGGGCAGGGGGCGGTGAGTGCCGGCCCCCTCTCTATCCAGCCACAGCGCCCACATCCTTTGAGGGCCCTTTCGGGAAGATCGTGCACCAGGTGCGGGCCACCATCGACACGCCACGTTTTTCCAAGGATCACCAGTGCAGCTGTGTGTTCTATATCTTGAACCCTCTTAACCTGAACAGCATCCCAGACATCGAGGTGAGGATGGGACAGTGGCCTCCTGGGTGGCCCCCGCCTTCACCTGATGCCCTGTCCCCAGCCAAGGGTCCAGAAGGCCAGAGGTCTTTGTCCTGAGCTGACCGTACTGTGTCCAGGGCCAGGGATGGCCAGGCTCAGTGGGCTTGCCCAGAGGTTCAGGGATCTGGCCTGTCCTCACCCATCAAACCTCCTCACTGCCTTCCCCAAGCAACCCAATGTGGCCTCCACCACCAAGAAGTTCTCCTACAAGCTGGTGAAGACGGGCAGTGTGGTCCTAACCGCCAGCACGGATCTCCGAGGCTACGTTGTGGGGCAGGTGCTGCGGCTGCAGGCTGACATCAAGAACCAGTCGGGCAAGGACACCGGCCCTGTGGTGGCCAGTCTGCTGCAGGTCAGCTCCCGGTGGCTGCCGGGGCCCAGCCCCATGGGCTGAGGGGCTGAGGATGGCTAGCCTGCACAGGCTCACAGTCTGGCCCTTCCCCAGAAAGTGTCCTATAAGGCCAAGCGCTGGATCTACGATGTGCGGACCATCGCGGAGGTGGAGGGCTCTTCAGTCAAGGCCTGGAGGCAGGCGCAGTGGCAGGAGCAGATCCTGGTGCCCGCCCTGCCCCAGTCCGCCCTGCCCGGCTGCAGCCTCATCCACGTGGACTACTACCTGCAGGTGCTGGGGGAGGGGCGTGGCAGGTGGGGCGGGCGGGCAGCCTGGAGCCTCACCCACACTGCCCTCCCAGGTTTCTCTGAAGGCGCCAGAAGCCACAGTGACCCTGCCAGTCTTCATCGGCGACATCGCTGTGAACCATGCCCCGCTGAGCCCTTGGCCAGGCGCAGGGCTGCCTGCCGGAGCCTCACCCCCAGTGGTGCCCTCTGCGCCGCCGCAGGAAGAGGCGGAGGCCGGCGGCCCCCATTTCCCGGACCCCATCTTCCTCTCCACCAAGAGCCACTCTCAGCAGCAGCCACCGCGTGGCGCTTTGGGCTGTGCGCCGGGCGTCCCGGAGCCCCATCCTCCGGATGGCAGTCCCGCCCCGCACCCCCTGCCTCCTCCCTTGTGCATCTCCACAGGTGCCACTGTCCCCTACTTTGCAGAAGGGTCCGGAGGGCCGGTGCCCACCACCAGTACCTTGATCCTCCCCCCAGAGTACAGCTCGTGGGGCTACCCCTATGGTGAGTGGGGGGCCAGGGCCTGGCGGGGAGGAGGCGTCCCAGGCCGCGTGCAGACCTCGTTCTTCCTTGCAGAGGCCCCGCCATCCTATGAGCAGAGCTGCGGCGGTGCGGACCCTGGTCTGACCCCCGGGAGCTGACCTGAGCTGCCTTCTCCGGGCGGGCCGACCTCTGCCCTGGGACCGGGCTCCCAGGGCCTCGTGCCTTCACCCCCGGCCCGGCCCGGCCCACTCAGGACTTGCAGTTGCCCGTCCCCCTGGCTCTCTGCCTTGGGACCAGCCTCCTCGGGTACAGCCGGTCTCTCTCTGGGGCGGGGCCTCGAGGGATGCTGTGTAAATAAAGCGCTTCATTTGTAGAGCTGGGCAGAGTCGGATGTCTCGGTCGCTCTTACCCCCGTGGGTTCGCGGTGGGCCCAGGCCTGGGGGCTCCTCCTCGACCCACCCCCCTCCGCTCTGGGTCCGTGCTCCCTCCGGTGTGTGTCGGGTGGGAAGGCGGGCTGGGGAAGCGCGCGGGGCGAGGAGTGGGGCCCACCCTGCAAGTGCGTGTCGGTGTCCTGTAAGCCAGGGCTGGGGACTTGGGCTCGCCCCTCGGTGCTGCTCAAGGATGCGCCCTTGGAGCTGGGCTTGCGTGTCTGGAGTTTCGGCATTAATTTAAGACGTCGCTGTTGAGTTGGGGAATATACCACCCGTTCCATTTTATTAATGCACATCTTGGCCTTGCCTTGGTCCAGCACCCATCGATCCACACAGCACAAGTTAGCTTTTCTGCGCCACATGAAATCCAGTGGGGCGTCATGGGCTTGCCCAGATCCTCTTCCCCTTGACCTCAAGTCCATGCTGGCTCTGCCATGTCTGGCTGTGAGGGATGGTGCTTGCTGCCTCCCATGCCAGCGCAAACACACGGGCCCCCTTCCTGGTCTTCCCCATTTCAAAAGACAGACCCAAGGAACCCCAGAGCAAATAAAAAGTCAGGGTTCAGCAGAGCAATGTTTGCCAAAGGGGCATCGTGCCAGTGTTCCAGTGCTGGGGGCCCGTAAATGCACTAGGGGGCCAGGGATCCTGGACCGTGCTTTGGGAACCCCTGGAGGTGGTGTCCAGGTAAGACTGCGTTCAAATTTCAGTTCTGCCATGTGGTGAAGTGGTGCCCTTGGTTTGGTGTCTCAGGTAACTACACCTTAAGCTCATGGGACTCTGAGGGAACAAGTTGAACCCCCTTTCCCTATGAGTTTCTTTTACATTTAACAGTCCAGAGGTGGGAGATTCGGGTCTGGTGACATAACTGTCATTATCAAGTGGAAGCCTCCACCCCTGGGTTAAGGGTGACTGTTTCAGTGTTCACTGTCACCCAGCTTACTGGACCTGTCCCTGCAGCTTCTTGGGGGACAGTCTGGGAAGTAGATTGTGTCACTTCCATATAAATCCCACTGGTCACCCTTTATAGTTGGCAATGTGTTCTTCAGCCAGGCAGCCTTATACCCAGCTAAAACTTACTATTTGTGGGACAAGAAGGGTGTGAATATTGGAGAAAAGCAGAAAGTATGTCCCAAGTAGGACAGCCTGTAAAACATCTGGTAGACCAAGTCCCATACCCCTCTCTACAGTTGTGTGGCTTTGGTGAGACTCAACCCCCTCGCTTCCTTGTCTGCTCACTTCGAGAATGTGGGGGGCAATGGCTGCCTCTCAGGAATGGCTTGACAGGTAAAGTTAACGCGTCATATGCCAAGAACAGTGCTTGACATGAGTGAGTGTACAGAGCAGGGGTGGGTTGGGCTGATAGTGCAAAATGGGAATGGAGCCTACTTCTGACGTACTCATTTATGGCTGATGTTTGCCTGGTAAAGGGTTTTCCTCCACATATTAAACTCCTTTATTAATCTGACATATTTGTCGCCTGCATGCCAAGCATTATTCTAGACACTAGGGCACCCAAAACAAAATCCCTGACTTCCTGGATTTACATTCTAGTGGGGAAAACGGCATGATAATGGAGTGCTATGGAGCAAAACAAAGCACGGAAGTTCTGTGGCAAAGGATATTTTTAAGCAGGAGGCAAGGGAAGGCCTCCCTGAAGAGGAGGGATTCGAGACCCAAGGACGGCAGATACGTGAGTCATAGATGGGAGATAAAAGTGTTTCAGGACAAGGACTGACTGGGGCCCAAGGAAGCGGATGGCTAGTGCTGGAGAGGCAGGTGTGCATGAAGGCCACTCAGGAGCTGGCTTAAGCTGCCCCCGCAAGACTGGCAAAGTTTTAATACTTAGGGTGTTCCATTTCTTCCTCTGTATCTGTGTGCATCAGTGTCAATGCCCAGCGTGGTGGACTAAGCTTTCCTGGAGCCTGTCACCCATGAGACTGAGCTCTTGCTGTGCATGCGGGGTGGACTGGCTTTCCATTCAGGGCTTCCTCAGTTCCTGTTCTGAAGACTGGCTAGAGAACCCCAGATTCAGCCTATGCTTCTTTTCTCAACTCCCAGGGGATGGGAGAAACAGTCTGGCTGTGGGGAGCAGGTGGCCTATGCCAGTCTACGTGGTGGTGTCCAGTGAAGGCTGCCAGGTGTGAATATGAAAGGTTGCCCTGGGCATGAGGAGGCAGGCAAGTTCCAGAGGGCTGCCCAGCTGGGGCACACCTCCTAACTGGAGCACCCCAAGCCAGACATCTTCCCTAACAAGAGCACCACCCAACGGGGGCAAGCCTCCCTTTCCGGGCTCCCTCCCCTCCCCCCAATCCCCAGCCTTTCTAATCAGGACAATACCCAGGCCAGGTCACACTCTCCTAGCAAGGCACCTTTCCTAAACAGAGCATCCTCACCCACAGTCTGGACATGCCCTCTGGCCAGGGTACCCCCCACCCCAGCAGCTGGGGTATTCGCCCAATCGAGAAACCTCCTCTAACCAGGGCACCTCCAACGGAGGCAGCACTTCCCATCGGGACATTCCTCTCCCCTCTCTGGAGCTCCTTTCCAGCCAGGGCAGTGCTCCCTGCGGGCACAAGCTCCTTCCCGGAAGCCTACCCCGTCACCCCGTCCCACCGGGCACACCCCACAACCGGAACTCCCCCTCAGCGGGGACATTCTCCCCCGCCCAAGGCACACCCTACAACCGGACCCCCCACCCCCAGCTGGGGCATTCCCTCACCGGGCACACCCCGTAACCGGAGCTTCCCCGCCAACGGGGTCCTCCGCAGCGGGGCCTCCCCACACGGGCCCCGCCCTAGTACGCAAGTGAGGGTCCGCCTTCGGCGAAGGCCGACGGAAACCATGTGTGTCCGGGGTTAGAGGTCATGGTTCCTTCTTCATCCCCGGCCAGCCCACCAGACGCCCACAGAGAATATTGGGGCCGGAGGGAGTATGACGCCCGACTGCCGCGGCGACTCGGGAAGGCCGCCCGCTGCGCCGCCCCCACCGGGCAGGCGCGCCCCGGTTCCGGTCCGCGCAGGCCGCTCTGCGAGCGCCGTACGCAGGGCTTCAGCGCGCAGGCGCGCGCGCAGGCTCAGACGCACACGGCCGGCCCCGCCCCGGCGAGGGCCGCGAGGCGCGGGCGGGGCATGGCGCGCGGGAGGGGCGGGGCCACGCTACGGGCCCGGGCCATGGCGGCCGCCGATGCCGAGGTGAGGAGCGGGCCGGGCCGGGCCGCGCGGGGGCGGCGGGGTGGCGGCGCGGCGGCGCGGCGGTCGGCGGGCTGGGAGCGGCGGGCCTGCGCCTCCCGCGTCGCCGCCGCTCTCGCAGCTGCGCCTCAGGCCAAGGCCGGGCCGAGGCCGGCGTCCGGGCCGCGCGGCGCGGGGCGCGCTTTGTGCGGCTGCGGGCGGCGCGGGTGGCGCGCCCGGAGGCCTCCCGGAGGCCGCCGCCTCGTAGCCGCCGCCGCGCGAGGGGTGGAGGACAAAAGGAAAGTGGGGCGCGCCGGCCAAGTTGGGGCCGCCGGCAGCCCCGCCCGCTGACCTTCCGCCGTGCTAGGCGGGCGGCGCCCCCAGAAAGTTGCCGGCCGGCGCGGTGCGGCCCGGCGCGGGCGTGCGGTCTCGGCCCGGCGGTGCGCCCCCCTCCTTTGTTGGCGCTCGCGGCCGCCCCTCCGCGCTCGCTCTGCGATAGTTTGCGTCCCGGCCGCAGCAGCACGGAGCCAAACTCCGCGAGCGGGACCGGCCGCGCGGGGGAACGCGGGGGCGGCGGGGCGCGGGCGGCCCGGGCCGGTGTGGGAAAGTGGCGGCCTGGCAGTGTCCGTCTGGGTGGAGTCGCCCCGGGTGTGCAGAGACGGGAGAGCCCAGGTGTAGGAAGGAGCTGTTGCGACCGTTGGGTGCACAGGCTTAACGGTGTATTTGATTCCAGGTAATGTGCGGTCTTTCTCTTACATTTTTTGGGGAGTGTTGATGTAAGTAACCTGGCGAGGTACAGGGGAGTTCTTGAATTTCAACACAGGGAGTTTTTATTGAGTACCTACGATATTCGGGTGATTTTTAGGCTCCAGAAACGAAAAGTTAAATTAGAAAACCCTAAAAGCACTTCCGGGCTTGGGGGAGAGAAGATGTGTAGTGATGGATGATGGCTTTTATTGGGCACCTGCTGTGTCCCGGGGTCTGTGCAAGCCCTCTGCTAAGTTCTCTTATTTAGTTTTCCTGGCCCTGTGCAGCAGGAAAACAAGTCTTCTGAGAATGACTTGGTTTAGTTATAAGACTAGCACTTGCCCGGTGTCTGGCATGTAGTAGGTTTTTATTGAATAATTGATGAGCAAATGGCCCCAGATGTTTCTGATTCTACAGGCAGCTTTGAATAGAGGACTTGACCGCACTGACGATAATGACAGCCTGTGTTGCTGAGCCCTTATTCCCGCTCTGCCACAGCACTTAGCATGAATTCACTCATTAAAGGGGGACTGATGTCGTGAGGTAGGTATGTTGTATTTCCATTTGCAGATGAGAAAACAGGCACAGTGAGGCCCAGGGATACAGAGCTTGTGGAGAAGATGGATTGTCTGCCTCAGCCTGTGATCACTAAACACGTGCTGTATCTGCGGTGGTCATTTTAGGTCAGTACAAGCCCTGGGTTTAGATTTGTGATTCCAAGTTGATATGGAGGTGCATAATAGGGTGAGGGGCCTCTTGGACCCTGTGTGAGTTTGATCATCTGTTGCCAGTAAATCTGGGAAGTAGTTACTGGATCAGGGTTCCGTAAGTGCCAAATGATTAAACCAGCAAAGTGGATACCTGAAACTTACCTAACTGCATATTTATTCTTTTCTCTTTTCCTTGACCTAGAAAGATTATCACTCGTTTTCACACTAACAAGAACTAGTGAGGTAGTGGAATGCTCCCCTCCCCTCATTTAGTGCATTAGTAGTGGGAGGCTCCTGGGGACTGATGTGTCTTCAGGACC